TTCCCTACAACTACCTAAAATTTGTTGAGAGAAACATTAAGTTACTTGTCTCAAGACCATTTTAGGTATGATTCTGTTATGTTTTTTCATTTTCTACTACCTCTTTCCTGATGTCTAATTTTATAACTGCACATAAAATAGGCTTGACAGCGAACAATCTCTCTAATCTTTATCTAATGAAAAAAGGTCTTCCTGCACTAAAGAGTTACAAAGAATATTAATCAAACATTAACGCTGGAATTTAAGGGGGAGGGGGGAAACTTTGCACTTTTTAAAAAATACACAAGTTAGATGACCAATAAAAAGGTAAGCAGCAGGAACAAAAGGCTAGCTAAACAGAATATCACATCTTTGGTATTTCTGGTAGCCACTAGCAAGGTAAATAAAAGATTGGGTCAACAGAGAGAAAATGACATCTAAAGGAAAATAACAGAGCAGGCAGAAATCTGGAGAGGATACATCAGAAATGCGTAAAAATATCTGACGTAGATCTGAATATTGCATTTACTTGTTACTGTTTTAAGCAAATCCAACATACATCGTAACTTACCAAAATCATAGCGATAAAAGTGCCAGCTTTCGTAACGACCTCCTTGCTGCTGATCTTCAAGACCTTTCTCTCCGTATTTATCATACTTCTTCCGTAGATCTTCATCTTTAAGTACTTCATAGGCTCTATTTATTTTCAAAAAATTTTCATGTGCATTTGGATCATTCTATTCAAGGAAAACTATAATTAGTAAGTAGTTAATAAACCATATTGTACATATAATGTTGAGAAAGTAATCTTTGGAAATATTTCATATCCCTACTAAAGATGTCAGTTGTGATGGAAGCAGACTTTACACACTGATCTCCAAACAAACTACAGTAAAGTTTTCCTCTCCTGAAGCCAGTTGCGTCTTCTGCTCATTTCTTCATCCTCACTAAAATGCCAACCGAAATACAAAGTGAACTGGTAGGAGGCTGTAACATTCTCCAGTGATGCCAAAAAAAGGTACTCACTAATGAAGACTTACCATTTCCTATCTCAACTTTTCCACTCCCCTAGAATCCCCACTTGTCCAGTTTGAAAATCTGTGCTATGAAGACAGATTCATCCCTTCTGACCTTACAGCATAGACAGAGGCCCCCTTTTTTATTTAAAAAGCTTTCTAGTTCTAGGTAGCTTCAGAATGAGAACAGTGAAAAATCTGCAGACATATTCTGAACCTCAGTTTGGGTTCTGAGGCGCTGATGCAGTGTAACAGTGGTGAGGAAAATCTGCAGAGCACTCTCACCCTTTTAACTTCTGCTTACACATTTCCTTCAAAAGACAGTTTTTCTTAAAGATTCTTGACTTACTTACCTAGATACACATGAAATTAATTACCATTATGAAATTTATGAAATGGCTTCACATTCTAAATATCATATTTAATGTTGAAAATAACCTGTTGAAAAATCTTTAGTAGTATAGGTATACTCGGAAACTACAGAATCTGACTCGAAAGGTTATTATTTTGAAAATTATCAACAAAGGCAAAACAAAACTTGCAACTGGAAAGTTGGCATGTCTAACTTTGTTGAGATTTGGCTTTCTGTTTGATTTTTTTCGTGTTCAAATCCATTGCAAAACATAAGTGCCTCAGAGGCTTCACCGTGCTCTGTGCAGGCGGGCCCTGAGCTCATGTGAAACACAACTGTCTTCTGGGGCTCTGCGCAGGTGCAGTTTCACATATAAAGATCCAAACTCTTGTTTTTCCTGTGAATCTCTGATCATTTCAGGAAATCTTGAGGAAAAATTGATGACGTTTAAATTTTAAAATTATTTTTTTGTATTTTGGAAAATATGGTAGCACAGACTCAGCCACTCCCAGTCTTCTCTCTCTAGCTAGTCCGGAGCTCCTTATCACCCTCCCTCGTTACGCTTTGGCAGTCCTAGAATTTCTGCTTTGTTTTGTTTGATACTTGGAGACTGATGTCTCAGTACAGGGCGCTGCTGTTTGCTGTTTAAATGAGACTGTGTTAGGGAAACAGTTAAGTTCCCCCAAGCTAAACAGAAAGAGACAAGCTCGTCAGTTTATCAACAAGGTAACATGGTACAGATGTAAGCTTTCCTCTATTTACAAAAATACAATTAAATGATCTTGCCTCTTTTTTTTTTTTTACTACAGCAATTTAATATGGCCCAAATTCAGCATGACCAGTCTATCCCTTCTCGTACATCTTCTCTGCAGAAAATCTGAGCTGAACCATCAGGTGGTTACGCTTCTCAGGTGGTTATGCTTCTTCACAGGAAGAGAGAAACATTTTAGACAACTTAAAACCACTTTTTGTTTAAACATGAAGATCCGTTAACCGAGCAACTTTGACCCATTAAGGATACGGCTTACCTGGTTTTTATCAGGGTGCAACTTTAATGCCAGTTTTTTGAATGCTTGTCGTATTTCTCTACTAGTTGCTTCTTTGGATACTCCAAGTAAACTATAGTAGTCCTGATCAGTGCACACAAGAACTATCACACATACTAAAACTAGCAATAAAGACCTTTTAAAATACGTAATATAATCTCCTTTGGGTACTAAGAACTCCATTGCGGAGCTTTTGGAAAGTTTACAGGCTCTGACGTGAGCAGGCTTTGGGAAGCATCTCCAGTAACTCCGCCAGCCCCCGGAGGTACCGCCGCCTTTATGACCGAGCTCTGCAAAACGCTGGCTGCCCCA